CCATCCCTGATGCTTCTGCCTCTGCATGAATGGGGAAGTTCTAGCAGCTGGTTGAACATATGGGTAGAGATGGGCTCTAAAATCATCATCTGTCTGCCTACTTGAGTTCCTAAGAAGCATTCTTACTTGAAAATCAAAGCTTCGGTAGCTTTTCCTAAACTGTATAACAGTGTAAGACAGTGTTTGTTTTTTTAATTTATTTTTTTTGAAGGCTTCTCAGTACATCTTGGTTTTCAAGACAAAGTTATAACAACTTCTTGGACTTTGGTTACATTTAATTGCTACAGGCAGTCAACAGTAATCTAAAAAGCACTTAATGTTTGAGTGATAATAAACAGTAAAATAATTTGAGTCATAATTTATGAAAAGCAGCAGCTTGTTTTCAGAAATTTAAACTCTCCTTGAGGAGACAAAAAGCGGCTTAAACACTTGGTACAAGAGACAGGCTTATTGATATAAATTATAATGCTGTGGAAAAATGGAAATAGCAAGTGTTGCTACTGAATTATGGTTATTTTTAAAAAGGTATTGTTGTCAGATAGATTGCTGACTTTTTTTGAAAAATAATTTAGTGCTGCCCTTGGCAAGAGGTCGATTCTGCCATGGTGGGCCTATTTCTTCCCCTCCAGTGAGGTAGTGTGTTTCCTCTCACACCTTTAAAAAAAAAAAAAAATTCTAATAGACAGACCTAATGTGATTATTTTTTGAAAGAAAATTCTGTATTCGATCCTGACTTTTCTGTATCACAGCATTACCTGTTGTGCAGCATGGCTTACATGGGGGGGGTGTAGGCATCCTAGCACTATTTGGCATAACCAAAGGCATTATCTGTGCATTATGTCAGACGTTAAAGGTGAGATACTGGTTTATTTTGTCCCTTACATTATCTTTTACTAGGTGGGTATAAATAACAGAGTTTTTCATTCAGGAAAATCCATTGAAAGGCATTAGACCTAGAGACATACCTCTCAGGAAGTTCCTGAGTCACCAGTTTAGAGGCAGAGAGAATGTTTTAGCAGGATTACCATAGCATACCTTGGGATTTTTTTATGCTTTTCCCTGGGCAATCAGCATTAGCTAATGTTGGGACTGACAGCCTAAGGCTAAATGAACCTTTGCTCTGATCAAATACAGGGTTTGTAATGCAGCCTTTAGCAATTTCATGTTAATTTGCTTATGAATAATGAAACAACAAAATTATCAGGCAAGTCAAAATTTAATCTTGTGTTTCCAGATTTTTCAGTTAAGGTACAGTGTCAGAAGAAGTAAGGTTAAGATTCCAGAAGAAATATCTCCTTATAAAGTTTTCCTTCCACTGGACCATAATTGCAAAGTTTCATCATGACTGCCCTCTGCACTTCTTACAAAATAAGTGTCCTGCTACCATTTGCTCTTCCACCATGTGACCCGTACTGGCTTTGATACCAACACTTGTGTAGGATATTCTTCTTGACAAGCCAGGTCCTCTGTTATTTTATGGCTGGTAATATTGTATTTGTCACCTCATACAACACAAACAGCAATTTTATTCCTGACAACTGTCGCCACCTCAAAACATGTAAAAACACTCACACAGATAACCCAAGGTCCTTGAATTTCTATTTCATTGACCTCCAGTGCTTCATGTTGCTGCTTAGGATGTACGATGTGGAGAATTATAGTAGGGGTTTTATGACCCATTTTATCTGCTTTTTGAGAAAGAACTTCTGAGTGCAGTAGCTGTCTTCTGTAGCAGAGGGAAGGCGAGGGATGTGAAAAGGGATAGTGAGAGGCCATTTAGATACTAGTAATATGCTGGGATTTCAGACACTCAATTGAGTTTTCTTTAATGTTCCCTGGAGCTTGAATCAATGGGGAAAAAAAACCCAAAAGATAAAATACCTTTCAAATATAAAATCAGAATGTTTTTGTCAACAAAAGCAGCAGCAGAAATGAAGATGATGTGGTAAATTGGACAGAGGGGAAAAAAAAGTCATTTAATATTGCTAAGAGCACGGGGAAATATACCTAGGAGCTGGCAGTAGAAGTCAACCTTTGGGTTTTTTTTTTAATGGAAAAGCAGGGGATCAAAAGAACAGAAATCTTGCCAACCAGTGGGCAAGAAAGGCTTTGGATATGTATGCAGGGGAAATTCGAGAATGCATAATAGATATTAAACCTGTATATGGCATTAAAAAAAACGATAAATGAGCACCTTAGTTCTAGGTAATGCATGTTAAAATGGATGTTAAAATACTTCCCAGTTAGTCTTTTTGGGGAGGAAAGATTAGAGGAGGGATTATCTACGGAATCTACTGGAAGAGTGACTGAAGTTTGATGTGTTTTGTTTCACAGGGAGATGGTTAACACATAGTTTGCTCGTAATTTGTAAGGCCATATAGAGAATTGATACTAGATGGCTCTTAATACAGCAAAATTTATGTTAGCCTGAGATCCCATGAATGAAAGTTGCTGCAAAATGTGGATTGGGTCTTGAAACAGAATCCCTAGGGAAATGGCAGTTTCTCTCCTTTAAAAAAAAAAAAAATGTTGGTGTTACTTGGAAAGACCTGCTGTGGGTCTGCAAGATGTGAGCAGTGGGATAGGAATCGATGAGCAGAGCTCTTGGCTGGGCGTAGAATGCCATGCTGCTTGATTATAGCAGTGCTTTCTAGTCTCAGAAGTTGTGAAGCAGTGTGGTTAAATGACAGTGTGCAAGCTTAAAAAATACTGAATTGTGGACACGGGCCATCAGGCTCCACTGCTTTAATGTCATGTGAATCTTACTGGATGCACCAGATGGATGTGGTGCTCTTCTTGTAAAGGTCTGTGTAGTGGAGAAATGCAGAGATCTCTTTCAGGGATTGGTATCATCAAGGCAGGTTCTTTGCAAGTGCACAGTCTGTTTTTCTGACCTGGAGAAGCCTACAGTGTAATTTAAACCAAGACTTGCAAATTAACAGAGCAAACATGGAAAATAAAGATACAATGGTACGGTCTACCAGGGAAATATGGTAGTTGTAGGACTTGAAAGTACGAAGTCATTGGAGTTTTCAGGGTAAACTTATGCAAGTTTTTCTGTCTGCCTCTGAACTATGGCTGTCATCATTTGACTGCTCGTTTGCATTGACATCCACAAGGAGATTTTTAAGGCACAACTTGCAAGAATAATGGTAAAGGTCCTGTAGACTGGTGTAAACAGGGCATACAAAGTGTGAAGAGCAGCACAGAGACAGCAATGATGTTAGTTAGATAAAAGGGGGGGGGAAAAGAGCATGTGTAATGGATGACTGGTGAAACAGAAAGCACTAAGGAACAGGAACAAGTGAGGAACCAAGGTACAGTTACACATACCTTGAAAACAATAACAAGAAGCTTGAACTTGACGAGGTAGGAAAGAGGAAGCATTCTTGGGTTGCAAAGAGATGAGATCTAATCAGTTCATGATTATGAAAACAATCAAATTGGCAGACACGTTTTCTGTGAATTAGAGTGGAGTAATTGGAGAGTCAGAGAGAAGATTACAGTGATTGAGGCAAAATGATGATTAGGTCCAGGATTAGCATTTTTGTTGTCTGCGTAGAGAGGACTTAATGGATAAATAAAATGACCTGCTATATGTTTATGGAAGCCATCAATTTTGTGACTTTGTTTCTAGGGTAGTTACTGATTCTGTGTTACAGAATCATATTTTAACGCAGTTCTCTCTTAATTTTCAATGTGTGCTTTGTGTTGGTCTTGCAGTTTCTAAGGTCAGTGTATGAGTGTAATTAAATAAAGCATTGCTATTCAGTAAATATGGAGCCAGATACAGCAGTATAGAAGGTGCTGTTTCAATTTAATTTGGTTTCAGATTTTAAGTTTATTAATTAATTTTATTTGTAAGAAAATGACTGAAGCATTGTAGCTGTTCTGGACTGTACTCATGAGAAAAGGAAACATTTGTGTGAGCATAGATTTGAAAGTTGCATGGTGATCTGTAGGATTCTCTCATTTTCTTGAACTCTAATAATAAAAATTGATGCATTAGCTTATTTTACTGGTGGACAGTTTTCCTTTGGGCATCAGCATGTATGAAGTAGCCCGGTTTTGGTGACGTAGTGTACCTTAATGGACTAAATGTTGGGCCTTGAACAAGGAACTATCACTGGCTAACTTTCTAGCCCCCTGGGTCACACTGCTCTACTCATTTTGTTCTGGATTTAAACTGGAGATTCTTCTACCTAATTACCTCTGGTCTTTTGAGTAATAGTAGCAGTTTTGATTTTTCAGGATGGTCTTAGTTGCAAAGTCATAGTTCCAGATAGAAATCCCTTTCAATAATGTGCAAAGATCATGTGAAAGTAAGTTGGTTTTCTCTGAGAATGCAGCCAGTGAGGCTTAGCTTTGATTAGTATTTTGTGTTCTCAGCAGCATTTCTTGTGTCCCCACTAATCCTGGCGTGTCTTCAAACCTGTGTCCGCTCCAGTTGCCCCAGTCCTCTCCCAGTATCGCCTTTCACATTCCTTGTTCTTCCCCCTTTACAGTGCTTGTGTTTACTGAGCCACCTCCAAATCCCACCTCCTCACTGCTGTTTTTCTAATTACTCTCTGGACAGGAGGCATATGGCTTTGGGACCCGCCATGTGCTGATGGGCCCGAGTGTCTATATGCTGACCTGCCGGGAGGCCAAATGTCATAGACAACTGCTGAGCTCATTGAAACCATTGAAACTCACTTTGAAATTCATTGAAACTGTTCATTTGAAGTGTCCTGTGGATTAATTGGAAATTACGTTACAATATTAAATTACTTTAGTTTTTCACCTATTATTTAAAAGTGGTTTCACTGATAAGTTGTATTTTTGTAGTATGTTACAGGAAGGGCTGGTGAAGCTGCATAATTGTGCTTGTCTGAAACAGGTTGTTTGCTTTCTAATTGTTTTTAATAGTCATTTCTGCTAGAAAACCGAAGTTAAATTCTGTCTTTCTTTTCCATCTACAGACTAAAAGATGCTGGCTGCCAGTAGTAGAACAGATCTTCTGTGGAACATATCTCTGTAAATCTTCCCTAAAATTACCCGAAGGCATATATTCCGCCTGTGATGGACCCTCAGAATACTGCTATGTTAGGCTTGGGTTCTGATTCTGAAGGGTTTTCTGGGAAAAGCCCCTCTGTAGTAAACATTGGCACATTGGTGGGAAAAGAAGTAGAGTTAGAAAGTTGCACCAAGGAAGAAGACGACAGTAAGAGGAATCGGGAGGGGAACAGTCCTGAGAATGGGAAGAACGAGGCTCTAACTGATGCACAGCAACATTTTTCAGTGAAAGAAACAAACTTTTCAGAGGGAAACTTGAAACTGAAGATTGGTCTTCAAGCAAAGCGAACGAAAAAGCCTCCCAAGAACCTTGAGAATTATGTGTGCCGGCCTGCTATAAAAACCAGCATCAAGCAACCAAGAAAGGTACCAAAGAGTGGGAAGATGACAGATGAGAAGAACGAGCACTGTCCTTTAAAACAAGTGAGTAGAGTGTTTATGTGGTGTTTTGCAAGTCATAAGAAATTTAAACTGTATTTAACAGTTTCTGGCATTTCTGCACAATCATGTTCTGCTAACTTTTCCCATGAAACCTTTGATATTGAAGAATATAACATTAGGAATGGTTTGATTTCATTTTCCATTGGCAAAAAATGCTTTTGCTCTTTCACAACTTGCCAGTGTTGTGTTTTTAATTGTAGTGAGAGGTAATTCCCGTGTTAACTTGAAGATCATAGGTAAATTTCTCAAAAGTAATAGTGTAATATTTAGTCCCTTATGTATAAGAAGGTGGGGGGTCTTGCCTCTCTTTACATGGGGCTGTGTATTTGCTGTGCTTGTCTCTAGTGTTTGGATTTATATTTTTTTCTTACCTGTCAGAGCCATTGTTTTTGCTGTGTGTCGTAACTGACACTCTGCGATGGATGTATCAAGCAGCGTGTGAAAAGTAAAACTATACTTTTCCAGATAGGTTAGAAGGCAGCATGGTGATAAACTGCATATAAATGCAGTGGCTTGAGAGATGTGCCAGGTATTTTCCAAATGTAAGGAGATAACCCTACCTTGAGCATGCCTTGGTTTTTATGATATGCATAATATAACAAGTAAAAGTAGTGATAACAGATAGGGAAAATAGGATAAATTCAGTTGCACAGATGCTAAGTTTTAGAAGTGTTTTGTTACAGCATGCTCTTTTTTCCTATACATCTAAAAGTTTTGCAAATAGAAAGCTGGAATGTACCCTCCACACTGTCTCCTTTTAGTCTGTGCCTACTGATTTAAAGCTGAAGTTTCTCCCTACACTGCTGTTTTTCATGCACCTATCTGTTTCCTTATGAGTACATATTTAGCTCTCCCAGTTTCTTTGTGCATCTTTTAGGAACTTTGGTGTGAAAAATTAAAATAGTAGGAGAATACCTTGCACTCCCGTCTACGACAGTTAGTCTTATTTCTCAGGCTCAGTGCTAAAAGGACTGCTTAAAGTGGCTGCAGTTGTTTCAGTTGAGGATTTATCTCCATTGTGAAAGATGCCCGGGGAGGTGAGATGGGTAACTTGTGTATTTACAACTTCTCCAGAAATATGTAGACAAAAAAGTTAGTAGTATTCTAAAGATAAAATAGTGGAACAGAAAAGCAAGACCTAGAAATGGCTAAAATTCCTGGATGTCAAGAGAAACAAAATTAGAAGTTACTGTAATGAAAAAATGATAATTAGTTTGCTTTTTGACACTGAATATGAAACTTGGATTTCTTTCTTTCAGAAGAGTGCTGTGACAGACAGATATGGCTCTATGGCTGGTGTGCCTTTGCTAAGCCTGAAATAATGAGCCTTAGACATAAGTAAATATATGTTGTGCTTCTGTTAGTTTTAGCACAAGAGGTGTACAGAAGGTTAGTCGATGCTTGCAAGGTAACTAGCCACTGCTGAAGCAAGGTTGCATTGCTAAAGTTTTAGAAAATTAGGAAGGCAAGAAGTGAAAGTAACAGCCTGCTGTAATTCTACAACTGTCATGGTAAAACAGTGCAGCAAGTTGGAACGTGCCCTTTTGCTCCATCTCCTTACTTTCTAAAACTGCTGAGTGTGGTATTCTGCAGCTCTTTCTGTCGCCCTTGGTTATGTCGGGAAGCTCTACAGGAAAGTTTGCTGATGAAATCGCAGCCACTAACTGAAAATTGTCATGCAAAAGAGTAACAAAACTAGAAAAGTGTTTTGGTTTCTTCTCTTTTTGAGTAGCTCAAGAATATTCTCTGTAATTTTTTGTCTTAGACTAATTATAAAGACATTTTTTTCCTGTTAGTGAGCTAAAACTTGCTTTTAGAAAAGACTAAAGAGTCTTGGTGCTAAAAAATAAACAGCAAACACACTTTCAGTCATTTGGGGAACTTGTATAGAATACACTGATGCCACAACTACACAAACAATTTCTGTGGTTCTTTAGAATGCTCATTTGAGTTATAGCCTGTGCATTGCCAGAAGTACAACAGCTAAAATAGGAATGGGTAAAACTCTCTGTATGTATATATATACACATACAAAAATTCTTACTGCGCTCTGGTAGTTCTCAAAAGAATTAACAAAGAAAACTTTCATGAACAGGCTGTTTTCTTCTATTTCAGCTTTTGGAAGTTGAGACTAGCTTTCATTTCCTAATTTGTTTCTAGTGTGAGAAGTGTGAATTTTACACTGGGCTTGATAGGAGTCTATATAAATAACATCCGTAAATAAAAACCTAGTAATATAAACCCTGAGATCATGCTGTAGTGTAACAATGAATGCTTTTTTTAGGAGTGATTTTTTTTTGCTGTTGGTGCCCATGGTGATTCTGGAATGATTGGTTATAGCCTGTTAGTAGTTTATCTCAGAACAACCTGGACTCTATTCCTCAAGTTAATGGTGCAAGTCTCTAGACTGTAGATCCACATAGGAGATTTAGAACTTTGATCTCAGTGCAAAATTAACAATAATATCAATTTTATGAAAACTTACATGGTTTATGTAATTGCTTTGTTTGATTCTTTTGTTGAGTAGAGCTTTAAGCCAGACAATTAAAGCTAAAGATTGCACAGGATTAAATGTTTTAGTTTTTAAAGCACATAATGGTTTTTAATGTAGTATAATCCAGACCTTCTTAACGGCTTTGCGCCTAGATGAAGCCTACCCTCTGAAAGGCAGGGTAACATAGAATAGGTCTAGAACTCTTGACTGAAAATGCCTGTAATCCAAGAGAAACTGTTTCAGACTTTAATGTGACATTGACAGTTTTCATTGCAACGTAGAGGCATCAACGAAGGAACTTGAAGTATGTGCTTGTTTGCAGACAGATTGTGTGAGTTTGATGGATGGAACACCTAGGAGATGTTAAGGGGGGCTTATTTTTTTTCTGGGAATGATTTGTTAGTAGTCTTCACAAAACTATCTGCGTTAAAATCTGAGTGTGCTTCTCTGATATAAAATTGTGTGGTCGTTCAAGCCAAACAGTGAAGCAGGACTCTCTGCTCCCTGGAACTACATGAGAAAGTTAAAACACTGAATGCACTGTGTGGAAGGCCCGCAAAATGAAAAGAGGAGACTAGACACATTTGTAGAGCTGAATGTGAACGTGGGCACAGCAGCCATTGAAGCTTTGAAGTGCTGTACACATCGCAAGCTCTCTGTAACACATTTTGGACTTCAGATCTCCCCTTCCCGGCTCAGGCAGTGATTGTTTGCACAGTGGAAGTTACTTCAGGGAAGCGTGGCAACTTTTTTGTCTCCAGTGCAGCAGGACAGATCATGGCTGCTCCCCGCCTTCCAGCTGTAGGTTTTGTGAGTATGAGGGTAGTGGAGTTGGGAGGGTTCCTGAAATTGACGCTCCAGCATAATTTACATAAGGTTGCAGCTGCCACAGAAAAGCTGGGCTGAGTGCCAAACTATTCTCCACAGATCGCAGTCTCTTTTACAGCACAGCTTTAAAACCAGTAACCGATATGACTGGTGAGTTTTGTTCCACTACTGCAGCAGGTTCAGAGACATCCGACCCCAGCCGATGCTCGTGGCTGTCCTCCCCCAAGGAGAGAACTTTGATCAGTGACCTATCACTGTTCTGCTTAAATCTTGTTTACCTTCTAGAAGTGTGGGCTGGTAGGGTGGTGATTGTAACAGCTGGTGAAATTTAGCTTCTGGTACATCAGGGATTTGAGCGTGGACCTAGTAAAGAAACAGGTAGTGATCGAGGCTAGTCTGAGATATAGGAGGTGATCCATTTTCACTATTTTGAGATAACTTTCTTAAAAATACTTATAGTTGGTGTACCACTTATGCTGTGGCTGGTGCTGGTAGAGCTATACTGATCCTGACTTCAGCTGAGAGACTTACTTGATTTTCTCAATATATGAGCAATGTATCCAAATCCTTTTCTTCCATTATTTCCTTCCATATAGAAAATGTCCTTGTTATTCCTGAAGCTCATGGCTGTGCACTGCTTATGTTTAAATTTTGTCATGGACAGGTTTACACAATGCCTGCCCTTGTAGTGCATTGTTCAGCAACTTCTCAGGCAGGAGCATGTGAGGTCTTCAAGTGCTATCACACTACAAATAGTTAGCCCAGTACATTTTTGTTAATGGGTGTTTTTTAATAATCCTCGGCAGTATTTTTTGAGAATGTTTATAACTGGGGAACAGATGAAATGGTTTAGAGTTGATGACTGGGGGCAAGTTTGGGTTTCCTGAACATCAGAAAAGCTTTAACATTGTCCACTGAAATACATTTGCTTTAAAATGAATAGGATCGTGAAGCATGTGTTTATATAGTTACCTTATTATCAGAAGCAGGTATTAATTGTCTCACCATAAAAAGATACTGTGTTACTCAGAGAGGGTCTTTGTGTTCTCTTCCTAAAGATTTTTTTTTTTTTTTTAATTAATTTCCAGGACCCCTCAAAGTCATACAAGAAAGCTGGAGAAGTCGCAACAGTTGAATTGCCTGTGGAAGAAGGTATACAAGTAGAAACAAATCCTTTAACTAAGAAAATTTCCCCATTACGCTCTGAAATGACAGATTATATAAAGTCATCTCCTCCGACTCTTATGAGTAGCCATAATTCTGACTTAAAGGATAGAACACAAATTAATGGAGCAACAACTGTAACAGAAAAATTGGCTCAACTTATTGCAACTTGTCCTCCTTCAAAGTCTTCCAAAACAAAGCAGAAGAAGCCTGGAAATGGAACTCCATCTGGTTTGGTTAAAGACTCTGGGAAGAAGCTACCAGCAACCATAACTGCAAGTGGGTTAGTTAACAAAGATTTGGTAAAGAAATTGCCAGGATCTGATATTGCTGTTGGATTGGTGAACAAGGACTCAGGGAAGAAGCCATTAGGGATTGGTAGTGCAGCCATATTGGTTAACAAAGACTCTGGGAAGAAGCCACAAGGGATTGGCCCATTAATTGGATTGGTCAGCAAGGACTCTGGAAAGAGGCCACCAGGGATCAGCACTCCAACTGGGTTAGTTAACAAGGACTCTGGAAAGAAGCAGCCAATGACCAGCTCTGCAGTTGGGTTAATCAGCAAAGATGTTGGGAGGAAACATCTAGGTCTCAGCACTCCCGCTGGACTGACTAATAAAGAGCCTGTCAAGAAGCCAGTAGGGATTGGCGCTCCGGCAGGACTGATTAACAAGGATGCTGGGAAGAAGTTGCTGGGAATAAATACTCCTACAGGATTGGTTAACAAGGATTCTGGGAGAAAGATGCCAGGGACTGGCAATACAACAGTTCTAACTAACAAAGACTCGGGAAGGAAGGCACCAGGGATTGGCAGCCCAGTGGGACCAGTTAACAAGGACTCTGGGAGGAAGATGCCAGGAATTAGCAGTCCAGCGGGATTGGCTGGCAAGGACTCTGGAAAGAAGCCAACAGGAATTGGCAGTCCAGTTGGTTTGGTTAACAAGGACTCTGGAACTCTGCAAACAGACTCTCTTATGCCTGCATCAGAAGCCTTTAAGCTTCCTTGCAATTCAAACCTCAGTAGCCTTGAAAGCCATGAGACCACAGATTTACTGAAGGAAAATAATACTAGCAAAACATTTGAGAAGCATATTATGAGACAGAATAAAGAAAGCACCTTGGAAAAATTTTCAATTAGGAAGGAAATTGCTGATGTAGGCAAAGAGATGTTTAGTGAAGGAATCCGCATTCCACAGGATGCTTACTCAACCAGTGAAAAAGGGATTTATGAAACATCTAAGCATGAAAAACAGCCTCCGGTATATTGCACTTCACCAGACTTCAGAACAGGAGGTGCTTCAGATGTATCAACAGCCAAGTCCCCATTTAGTGCAGTAGGGGAGGGAAATCTCCCATCGCCTTCACCCACAGTGTCTGTTACCACCTTAAACAGGAGCCTCTCGACAACATCTTCACAGTTAGTACCTAACTCATTGCATTTAAGCTCCACAGCAGATCTCTTAGAAGGTATTTCAGACCAGACTGGCAAAACTCAGTTTACTTCTGACAGTACACTTATGAATATAAACAGAACATTGAACCATACTCTGAGCACCGATTTTAAAGGTACTGATAAAGACTTAAATGATTCAAAAGCTACTTACATAGAAACTTCCAGAACTAGTCCTTCTATGGGGAAAAAGCCCATTATGACAGCTGAAACAAGCATTCATGCTTCTGTCACCCCTTCAGTAGTTAGTTTTACAAGCTTATTTAGTAGCAAGCAGTTCCTAAAGATTGGTACAATAGCTGCATCAGATAAATCCTGCCAAGGAGCAAAAACTTTGAGCGCTACTCAGCAATCAAAACCTTTAAAGAAAAGAAAAGGAAGGAAACCACGGTGGACTAAAGTGGTGTCAAGAAACACATGTCGATCTCCAAAGGGTCTAGAACTAGAAAGGTCAGAGCTTTTTAAAAACATTTCATACAGTGCACTATCAAGCAGTAATTTGGAACAGGCCAAATTCTTGAAAAACATGGGATCGCCTTCATTCCTGGAGCACGAATTTGTCAAACATCAGTTGCCAAAACTGAATGAAGCTAATGGGCAGTCTCTTGCGCTGTTAGCTGAGACTGAGAAGCAAACTCAGAAGTTCTACAGTACTCACAAACAACCCTCTACTTTGTGTATGTCAGATGATTTCATACCTGACATGTATAAACCCAAGAGAGGAAGGCCTAAATCCAAGGAGATGCCAGAGCTGGAAGGTCCCCCCAAAAGAACTTTAAAGATTCCAGCATCAAAAGTCTTTTCAGTGCAGTCAAAAGAAGAGCAAGAACCTCCAGTTTTGCAGCCTGAAGTGGAAATTCCCTCCCTAAAACAGAGCTTATCAGGGCAACCTTTTCCTAAAAAGAGAGGGAGACCTAAAAGGCAAATCAGGTCATCAATTAAAATGAAACCACCTATTCTTTCTGTGGCACCTTTTGTTGGAACAGATAACTCGAGCAAGATAGACTCCGACAGCGATCAACATCAAAGTGGAGATTTTTTTGAGAGAAAAGACCAGCTCCGAGGGCCAGAAGAGGGCCAAAAAACAAATATTTGTAGTATGACTGATTTGGAAGTAGACGCAGACAGAAAAGTTGCCAAGAGAAATAATGGACAGTTAATGAAAACAATTATTCGAAAAATAAATAAAATGAAAACTCTGAAGCGAAAGAAACTTTTGAATCAGATTCTGTCTACTACAGTAGAACCAAATAACAAAGGGAAAGTGCAATCTAAACTCCACAATACAGTGTCAACTCTTGCTGCCACATTTGGTTCAAAATTAGGCCAGCAAATAAATGTCAGCAAGAAAGGAACCATTTATATAGGAAAAAGGAGAGGAAGGAAACCTAAAGCTGTTCTGAATGGTATTTTAACTAGCAGTTCTGCAAGTTTGACAGTGCTTGAGAATTCTGCTCAGCAAGTTCCTGGTACGTCGCTCGGACAAGTACTTCCCCACTTGCTGCCTTCGACAGCTAATAATCCAGAGATTCTTCCAGCTCCAGTTTGCTCTCCGTCTTCTGCAGTGAGTGGGGGGCAGAGCCCTGTCAGCAGCGACGCAGGATTTATTGAGCCCAGCTCAGTGCCGTATTTACACATACACTCCAGACAAGGAAGTGTTGTTCAGACACTTGCAATGAAAAAAGCTGCTAAGGGAAGGAGGAGATTATCTCCACCTACATTGTTGCCAAACTCTCCTTCTCACTTGAGTGAGCTGACATCGCTGAAAGAAGCCACTCCTTCCCCAGTGAGTGAGTCTCACAGCGATGAGACAATTCCCAGTGACAGTGGAATAGGAACAGATAATAACAGCACTTCAGATCGAGCAGAGAAGTTTTGTGGGCAAAAGAAGAAAAGGCATTCGTTTGATCATGTTTCCCTTATTCCACCTGAAACTTCCACCGTTCTAAGTAATCTAAAAGAAAAGCATAAACACAAATGTAAGCGCCGCAGTCACGATTACCTTACTTATGACAAAATGAAGAGGCAGAAGCGAAAAAGGAAGAAGAAGTATCCTCAGCTTCGAGGTAGGCAGGACCCAGATTTCCTTGCTGAGTTAGAAGAATTAATAAGTCGGTTAAGTGAAATTAGAATAACCCACAGAAGTCACCATTTTATACCCCGAGATTTACTACCTACTATTTTTAGGATAAATTTCAATAGTTTCTATACCCATCCTACTTTTCCTTTAGATCCTTTGCACTACATTAGAAAACCTGATTTAAAGAAAAAGAGAGGCAGGCCTCCAAAAATGCGGGAGGCCATGGCAGAAATGCCTTTCATGCATAGTCTCAGCTTTCCCCTCTCCAGTACCGGGTTCTACCCCTCGTACGGCATGCCTTACTCTCCTTCTCCCCTTGCAGCTGCTCCCATAGGCTTAGGTTATTACGGAAGGTACCCTCCCACTCTCTATCCTCCTCCACCTTCTCCTTCTTTTACTACCCCCCTGCCACCACCTTCTTACATGCATACAGGCCATTTGCTTCTCAATCCCACCAAATATCACAAGAAGAAGCATAAACTTTTACGCCAGGAGGCTTTCCTCACGACAAGCAGGACTCCGCTCTTGTCAATGAGCACGTATCCCAGTGTTCCACCTGAAATGGCTTATGGCTGGATGCTCGAACATAAGCATAGACATCGCCATAAACACCGAGAACATCGTTCTTCTGAACAACCACAGGTTTCCATGGACACTATAGCAGCTAATAGCTCTTCTAGAACAGTTCTGGAGTCATTGAAGCGCTACAGATTTGGGAAGGAGGCTGTTGGTGAGAGGTACAAACATAAAGAGAAACACAGATGTCACATGTCTTGTCCACACCTGTCACCTTCAAAGGGTTTGCTGAGCAGAGATGATCAGTGGGTCAGGAGGGAGCCTTCGGAGACTAATTCATTAGCATTGGGATTGCAGACGCCGCTACAGATAGACTGTTCAGAAAATCCCCCTGGTCTGTCCCTGGGGGGATTTGCTCCCAGCTCTGAGCCAGCCAGCAGCGACGAACACACAAATCTTTTCACAAGTGCAATAGGCAGTTGCAGAGTCACAAACTCTACCAGCACCAGTGGACGTAAAAAATTAACTGACAGCCCCGGGCTCTTCAGCGCACAAGACCCCTCACTAAACCGACCTCTCCGAAAGGAGCCGTTGCCTTCTGTTGAGAAGGTGCTACAGCCTTTGCCAGGTAAGGGAGCTCCGGTTGTGCGCGCTGTCCTGTGAGCCTTGCGACCTCATGCTGTAGCAAATGTGCTAGGAAAGGAGGGCGAGTGTAGCTTTGGCTTTGCAGGAATTGTTCCGTGTTGAATTTCAGGACTACTCTTGCTTTCACTCAGGTGTTTCTGTTCCATCAGAGCACTGCTTTGTGCAGCTCCAGAGCTGCTTATGGGGTTGTGTAAGTAACTCTTCCCACTGGATTCTCCTCACTTTGTTACATCAGTATATAAATTGTGCTAAGGAAGCTTTCTCATGAAAAAGCTTTCTGGAGAAATGAGCTAAAATTTCTCCTTATTTTTGATATTTTAAAAGCCATGTTTCTGCTTGTTTTGAAGTTTAGTTGATTTGTTTCAGACTGGTAATACTATAATTGGTCCTACTGTTGTGAATAACATTTCTGTTTAAGAAAATGTTTCCTTTTTCTTTTGTAACTCCATTTTAGTGGTTTTGATAATCTCTACTGCAGTATAGCTTTGGATCCCTGACTTGAGGCCTCTAGCACTGCCTCAGAACAGTTGCTAAATGATGCTGGGAATGCCTGAGACCAGACCTTGTCATGACTGCTTTATTCATAGCTGGGAAATTAATCTTATGTAGCCTCAAGCAAAACTAGAACAGAACTGGTGGAAACTGTAGACACAGCAAATTGCAGTGACGCTGTTAGAGGGCTCATCTTTAGGGAGGAGACTTCCAGTCTGAAATCATAGGCTTTGTCATCTGCATAATATTAAGAAAAACAAATCTAATATGAAATTTAGGACTTGAAGAAACTATGTTACACATCATTGGCTTAAGGGTCACTTGATGCTGTACTTTATTCCTACAAACATCTGTAATAATAATTTTCCTTTCTACCTTAATTGCTATGAGCACGTTAGTGAGACCACATAGCAAAGATAACCTGCAAAAGACAAAAGTGTGGCTTGTGCTCATTTGCTTATTTCTGATGTGTACAGGAATTCTGATGGCTTCTCCTCCCTCCTTCCAGTAGCTGCCCATGCACTCCCTTGAAATTTAAATAATTTGTCTTAAAAATGTGAGTCGTGACTAGTATTCACAGACCAAGAGCCAAGCAAACAAGCAGCTACCGGTAGTGAATAAAATACATCCTCACACTCCTTACTTTCATCTTCCTCCTTTTCTTGTGATACTCCTGTTCTGATGGCTCCTGCCACCTCCCTACTCTGACTACATATGTTTGGAAGGATTTTTTTCTTTCTGTTTTATTTTAGCATTTGCAGGGGTTATGTTTTGCTTCTTTATTTTAAGGGCAGTTGGAAGTGGTTGGCTTCTTTTACAAGTTCATATTATTTCATAGTATTTCATATTACAAAAACTGATCTGGGTAGGGGCAAGTCAGGAGAAAGCAATAAAGCTGTGAGACTGCTTCTCCTGCAGAAAGAAAAATTCAAAGTGCTAGGTCATCAAAAGGGTTAAATTTGGCTCTGAGGAGTGGTTGTGGTAGCTGGGAATTCCTGCAGTTCTGGGAATTTCCTGAGGATTTTCATTGCAGTGAATGATCTGACTTGTTTTTTTATGAGGAACAACCTAATTAAGGGAAAATCAGAGATGTTTTAAGCTGAAGCCTCCCTATGAAGGCTCTGAATCACTTGCCCTCTTACAGCATGCGTGCCTGGTTCCTCAGATTCCCTGTATCGCTTTCAGTAAGTGTATTTCCCACACTGGAAACCAGGTGGTTTTATGATGCAAGTGGCTGTCGGCTCAATATTTTTCTGGTTCACAAAATGCTTCAAATGCTCCACATCATGTGCATGCAGTATATTGGAAAACTTAAAACTGCATCTAGCTAAAAGCCCCACTAAAGTCCAAAGGCTGGCTTTTTGTTAGAAGAGCAGCATCAGGCTGCACGTTAGATTGCATTTTGGTTTGGTTTTAACTGTAGTGCTGAATTGCAGTTCAGAAGCTAGTACCATGAAAGCCTAAGATGTTTTTGTGCACTGCAGAAAATAGGGCAGATGAAGAAAAAGCTTGTGGTGCATCGTGGCTTGTTTATATCTTAACACGATGCAATTTAGGCACGTGGTGGAGAGAGCAGTGTATCAGAGCAGTTAAAATAAGTAGAGACCAGCATCAGAGAGTGCCTTCTAAAATCGTTCTGTGTGATCTGCAGGGGATATTCGTGATGTTTTATTTCCACATATCCCATATGGAAAATATGCTTCCTTTCCGTGGAGTTTTGAATGTTAAACTTGCCTTGTTGAATTAACTGACTGATTCTTTCTATGATGTTACCTGATGCCAGGTATTTTCAGAGATCACCTGCGTCCAAGTTGTATTAGAAAAGTACTTGTTTGGCACACGGGGCTCTGGCAGGGCTCAGTATTTCACAGGAGGTGGAGGTTAGATGGAAGTTCACACGCCGTAGGCTTGTTGGACACCGGCGGTTGTGCCAGCACAGGTCACAAGGCTCCTGCGTTTTGCCTTTTAAGAATTTTGTAGGATGCTTTTTCCCATTCATCTGAAGACCACAGTGGTCTTTAATGAACTCCTGCAGCTTCACACTATGAGTTACTTCGAACAGCTGATAGCTGCTCCTAAACGAGTCTGGAAAGGGAGGGCAAACCCAGCCTCAGCTGTTCCATCCTGTGTGGAGAGGCTGGCCAGGGATGTGGCTGCCTTTCGGTGCTGGCGGGAGAAGCCTGGTACGAGCAGCACCAGACCCCCTGCTCCCTGCCACGTGCCCGGGGCTCTGCGGGTGGAGCTCTGCTGGATCCACAGCCAGAGCAGGAGGGCTCTGGGAACACAGGCCGTACGTACAGTGAAAGGCACTCTGCAGGTGCCTACAGTTCAGTAGCACATTATTGAGATGTACCTGTTGGTGTGTAGGTAATAATCGCTCTCATTTGTTCAGACCTGGAGTTTTTACGTGTTTGCCATTGCTCACCGAAGCAGAAATCTTTAATTTTTTGTAACAGGATCTCAAGAAGGAAAAGTTAACATGAGCTAAATCTAGAGAAGTACTTTTCCTTAAGAATTTTTTTCTAGCTTTCTGCAGTTAGTAGTGTCTTACACGAAGCACTTCTGCCTGAGGAGTGGAAGAGAAATGCTTTTACAAAGCAAGGTGGACTGAGAATCAGCTGACCTTCCAGGCACAGAAGGTTGCGATCAGCAACACGGAGACCGGTGGCAGGCCAGTCACTCGTAGCGTACCCCAGGGATCAGCATGGGGTCCAGTACTAGTTACCTCTTCATTAATGATCTGGATGATGGGATGGACTGCACCCTCAGCAAGTCTGCAGATGATAGAGCTGGAAGGAGTGGTGGGTACACCACATGGCTATGCCGCTGTTCAGAGGGATCTTCACTGGCTGGTGGAGTGGTCTGGAAAGACAAGGAACAGCATCTTGGGCTGCGTTACCAGCAGGTTGAGGATGATGGTTATTCCCCTCTGCTCAGCCCTGGTGAGACCACATCTGGAGTGCTGTGTCCAGTTCTGGACTCTTCAGTCCAAGACAGGCATGGACATACTGTAGTGAATCCAGTGAAAAGCACAAAGATGACTAAAAGGATTGGAGCATTCATCATACAGAGAGAGACTGGGAGAGCTGGGACTGTTCAGCCTGAAGAAGACAACGTGCAAGGGAGATCTTACCGACGTGTCTATGTGCCCGATGGGATGGAGTAAAGAAGGAGTCACACTGTTCTCAGTGGTGCCCCGTGATGGGAGAGGAGGACATGGGCACACACTGAAGTATAGGAAAGTCTGTTTGTACATAAGAAAAAGGTGTCTTACTGTAAGGGTGATTGAACTCTGGGTTGTGGAGTCTTCATTGCTGAAGATGTTGAAAACACAACTGAATGAGGTGGCCCTAAGCAACCTGCTCTGGTTTGAACAGTGTGGTTGGTCTAGGTCATCTGCAGAGGTCCTTTTCAAACTCAACAGTTCTGTGAAAATCAAGTAGTGAAGCTAGGGGGTTCATTTGAAAGTAGGAGTATGAGGGGGTTGTTTTCTTTTTTTACATAAAAGCTAATACTCTGATGATAATAAGTGGCTTTTCCTCAAAGCTTATTTACTGTCCCACCTATGCAATTATTCTGTGAGAAATTCCTTCTTGATGGTCCATTTCCGTTCTTCTCCACCTGTGTGCAGCATAGCAAGCAAGTGTTCCTAAAGCTAAAAAGAGTAATCTTAATTTGAATATTTAGTGCCTACAGTGTGTTGTATTGGCACAGCCAGACTGAAATGATTTTTTGTGTGTGTGCTTTTCTCTTCCCTCATCCGCTTTTCAGGCACTTTGCCAACACAGGACAAACCTCCCCAGAGGCAGTCAGAGAGCACAAACTGCAGCCCTTCCAGGAAGAGAACAACATCTGAGAGCACATCTTCTACAGGCAAGTAATATTTGGTGGCCTTGTTTTTTTGGACCACTGCTATAGTAAGACCTATGCTAATACAGACAGCTGAGACAGCGTTGCTTTGAGAACTTTAGCAGCAGTAATACGTTCATGGAAATACTGAGATTTTCACTTACATTTTAGGACACAAGTGCTTCAAATTGGGTTGTAGAATAGGGAAACTCAAGCTGGTGCTTACAGAAGAATGTGTCTAGACTGCTATTTCCTCCTCCCTTTAAACAGATACTTGCAACAAATGCTTTATTCAGCATATGCTGGAGAAAGTCATCTACAGGAGAGAAGTGTGCTCTCTTCCTCTCTGTCCTGTTAACTTTCTTCTACTTACTCATTCTTAAGGGGCAGCTCCAGTTGATGTAAGTCTGTGTATAGGAAGGTGTTGAAAGTTCAGGTATATTTTGTGTGGGAGAGCATAAGAATGAAATTAATCACAAGTTTATCAACTTCAAAGTAATTGAACTGATGATGCAGCTGAAAAGACCAGTCTTTGTTATATTTTCTGTAGATCTGGAATGCATGTGGGATTTCAGTGTGTTTGTCAGAGAGCTGCTTTGTTACCAAGGGCTGCAAGTGTGCCTGACTGGGGCTGCAGCTGCTTTGGAGATCACAGCCTTTAGTTGTCCCATCCTTTTGGATCAGTTTCCAAACAGAAACCCTGGTTCAAGGGCATCCATTAGACATGTGTGTCCAAATGGGTTGTCTTGTGTAGTCTGGACTTCATTGGATGGTACAGCTGTTCACAGAGCTCACTGTGCTAAACAGATGGTGCTTCCATGAGGAACCCTCAGCTCCATCCCGACCTGTATTTAAAGACCATAAGAAAGCAAAGGATAATTTATCTTTATTTCATCTGAAATGGAAAGCTGAAAGTGTAAACCCTTCTAGTACTTTTAAGTGTTGTTCAGGTTGATAGGTTTTCAGAGTGATTACAGTGAGGCTTAGAGCACTGACCTGACAAGTGTTTCTCTGTTCCTTTTTCACCTGTAGGAAAAATGTTGTTCACAGGAGGAGCTTCAGAACTCATTGTGCTGATTCTTCCTCTGTTAAATTGTGTGCTCTCTGAAGCACGGTTTCACCTGCGCTTGCGGGTTGGGGTTAGGGTTAGCATCTGAATGAGGAATACCCTTATCCAGAGCACCACGCTTGCACTAGTGAGCACTAAGACTAGGAAATACTTATTTTAAACTGCTTATGCTTTATCTTTGTTAGCTAATGCATAATCTCCCTCCTGTCAAATGACAGAAACACTTCCATATAAAAACTGTTTGTTGTCTTCCCTTTAACAGTTACCTTTACATTAGAACATACACTTCAGTCTACAGCCTGGGACCCACTGGTTGGAAGTAGATCTAATGTAAATAATTGGCCGCAATTACAGTAACATTTTGTAAATGCTAATGTGCAGTTGTGATATGTTTATGAGAAGACAGCATCCACTTTACTCTTGAATGAACAGGGTTTCTTCTGATTAAATGTTATCACCAAGAACTACCAGGGAAGCTTTGGGAAGCTCTCAGTTTGGAACAAATCCCTTTTTAATACAGCATAATCTATATGGTTGACCTGGAAATTATTTTTCAAATACCAGTCTGCATCCTTAAGCATATAGGTTAAAAAGTGAGATCTAACTTTACTTCCTGTCTAAATTAGCCTTTTCTCCACATACTTTAACTTACCTTTATCCAATATACTGTACTTAATTGCAATCAGTTCTGTCATCATTGTTTCTCTTTTTGATAAAGAAACTGCAAGATCTATGAAAAAGTTATTTCAGTGCTTCCAAACTACAAAAAAAGAAGAAACATCTGTTTAAAAACATCTCGGATATTGCTCAGCTTTTTTATCCCTATTTAATTTTTCTGTGGACAGAGGGTTTCTTATTTTTGGTGTTAAGGGAAAAAAAACTTGAGAAGAGCTCTGAACTGTACATACACAGGGAATGCCCTCATTGGTCCTTGCTGATAGAAGTGGGGGACTGTGTGTTAATAAAGATAAGATAATTGTATGTTAAAACTGATGATATAAAGGGTAGACGTTGTACTTGCTCACATGGCTAAGTCCCTTTCCTGTTAGAACTTGTGTTACAGACCTTGGTGTCTTGTTGAGCATTCCAGGCAATTGTAGGATATAAAAGGCTGTCAGTCTGTCCTACTGTTGTGTTGTAGTTCCACCCTGATTTGATGGTCTCTCAAGTCCGTTTCAGTACGTGTCTGTCTGTCTGTGGTGCAGTGATTGGAGTACCCACCCGGGGAGCAAGGCTGGCAGGGACTGGTGAAGATCCAGTGGACAGCTTACTGCAGCGCATGGCACAACATGAAGGCCAGGCGACTTTGGACAAAACCTTAGAAGCAGTCATTGCAAATGTGTCTGTCCCACCATCAACCAGTCCTGCTCGGAACCACAACAGGGAGAGAGGTCTGGGCAAACAGGACAGCCTCGTAGCCCCAGCGATTCCCAGCAGGTCCTGCAGCGATAGTGTCTCGCTTCTGCCAGACCGACTGCCAAGCAGCTATTCCTCACATCATCTCAAGAGAAGTGTGGTGGAAGCCATGCAGCGACAAGCAAGGAAAATGTGCAATTATAACAAGATCTTGGCAACAAAAAAAAATCTTGACCACGTCAATAAAATTCTGAAAGCCAAGAAGCTGCAAAGGCAGTCACGGACAGGGAATAACTTTGTAAAGCGCAGGCCAGGTAGGCCCCGGAAGTACCCAATGCAGGCTGTTGTTTCAATGCAAGCTTTCCAGGCTGCTCGACTGGTCAGTCAGGAGTTAGACAAAAGAGAGGAAAGCAGCAGTCCCTTACACCTTGGACCTGATACCATCACAGATGTGATTGAAGCTGTAGTGCAAAGTGTGAACTTGAATACAGATCACCGAAAAGGCTGGAAGAGAAAGAGGTGGCTTGCGGAGGAACAGGCCAGGAAGCGACAAAAGTCTTTACCAGAAGATGAGCAGGAAAGCAGTAAGAGGTAATTCCCTTACAGTTTTGTACCCTCAGTAGAGTCATTGTTGGGTTGTTTTTTAACATTTCAATGCATGAAAGAATCCTACTCTGACATTACATTTATTTTATTAAGGAGTTCAGTTTAGAGGGAACCAACATGTCAGTTCTAAGTATGCTTAGAGTCTTCCTAAATTACTGAACACACCCCAGAATAGGATGGAATCCTAGGTAATCCAGAACTGTTGGATTTGTGTTTGTGTCTCACGTGAGGCGAGTTTTATGGTTGTCTTGGTGGAGAACACTTAATGAGTTGTTAACAGGTTTACTGATGAGATGTCATAACAAAGATTGTTCCTTTATCATGTGCAGAATAAGGAAATGTAAGAGTTACATGTGCCATGGAATGAGTGTTACTCTTGTGCATTACAAACTAATACTTAGAGGCAAGGCAGAATGTTAGGTGAGATCAGTTTACACAAAGCAAATAAAGAGTAAAACCAGAGCAGGAATATGGAGCTAAGTTGTGCACCTGTGCAGTCACTGGCTAGGAAAGGGGCACACCAGCCGATCGCTCTCTGTTCTATTCTTCACATGCTTACCCCCAAAGTCAGCCATACAAACAGATCAGACTCTTCCAGAAGTCTTCCTTTGTGTGTTTTCACAATAGTTCAGAAAAATAACCCTCCATTTGTGTTTCAGGAATCAATGGTGTAGTATAGGCATTTAGATTCACAGAATGTTGCTGGAACCACGTGTTCCAAGGGTGTATTGTATGGCTTTCGTGAAAGCTAAGAAAAGGTTTACCACTTACTATTTTTAGAGTACAAAAGCAGATAGAATAAGCCACCTTCTAAATTACTCAGATGAAGCTCCAAGGGATAAACATTAGCAGTACAAACAACATTCCTTTTGTGGTAATTAATAATAACATCTAAAAGATCATACATTTCTTATGATAATGCTCAACCACCACTTGATCGCGATCATCAAATTGCACTCTTTTGAACAGCTGAGATGCCCAGTGATTCAGAAACATGGACTTAATTTTTTCTGCTGAAAAGATTATAGAGAGGAATAATGAAATATGGTAATAAATATGGTAAAATAATCTTTAATCTTTACTTTTTCTTCCAGTGTTTCTGAGACAGTAGCTGAACCTCCCAGTCCACATGATGCCCTTGGGAAACCACATGAACCTGAAAACACTGAACAGCCTTTGCCTGCTGTAGCCCAGCGTGAGAAGAAAGCCCCTCGACCCCCAAAGAAGAAGTACCAGAAGGCAGGGCTCTACTCTGATGTGTACAAAACGACAGAGTAAGTAATAACCACTGAAAAGCTGCTGTTTGATGTTCCACTGGAAACTGTCTCCTTTCAACCGGAGCCATAAAAAGCTGCCACTTATGAGTAGCTGAAATAAAACCATCAACTTAATTCAAGCCTGTCAAAAATTACATGCATGGTAATTATCAGAATCTGACCCACTGAAGATTTTAAGCGTAACCCCAGTCAGAAAGCAGCCTCGAGCAATCTGAAAGTGTTTCTGATTATCAAGCTTGGAAAGAAGGTAAGAGAGCTTCATTCAACAGTTGAGCGATCATGGCAATAAAAGTGCTGGGAGAGCTTGAAACATTCAGGTACTGAGTACAGTGTCTACATAAAAGGGGCCATTAGGTTTCTATTTTTATTGACTGAATGATGACAATCGGTCGTCTTTGTGTGGAAGTATTTTAGATATGCACCCTGTTCATTTCACAGTTAAGTGAAGTTGTTCTTAATTTTCTATGAGATGTTTAGAGTAAAAGTCCTGCCTTTTTTTTTTTTTTTTTTAACCGATTGGCTACAACCTGTTGTACTTTAGAAAGTGGACATCTCCCATTTCCGATAGCGCATTTGTGCTTCCGTTGGCAGTTATGTAATTTTTCTATAGCCATTTGAACAGATATGTTGAAGTCAAGGTTTGCATTTCTCTTCTAATATGATCTGATAGATTAAAGAGAGAGAAAATTTGGTACTTTTTCACTGTGTCGTAGACCACTTTAAAATGTTAGAGACCTCAGGGAGACTGCTGTTATAGTTTCAGCTGCCCCTACTGTATTCTCTTTCCATAGTAAAATGAAGGCATCAGTGATGCCTTCCAAGAATCTAAGGAACAAACAGAGATCTCTGTCTGATTAAAGTGAGACTGCTTAAGTTTCTAGCAGTCTGAGAGTCTTCTCCTGTTCTTTATTATAAAATATTAGTTACATTGTCAGTCCTAGTCCACTAAAGGAGGGCCTTTATTTCATAGACAGTAAGCAAGCATATCGTTTGAAAAATTGTATGAATACAGAAGTTGAAAGCCCAGGTGGTATTGGGGATGATGGTAAAATGAAGTTCACTACCCTGGAGAAGGCCATGACAAAGCTGAGCTCAACTTAAAATCCTCCCTCTCCCATCGCATTTTGTGTTGCAGTTCCCTGGAAGCTTAAAGAGGTCTGATTTGGTCTTCCCCTTTGCCTGTTGCTCCACATGCTGAGTTCTTCCCTTGCACTGATACTGATGTTTGTGATGAGCTGCTTAAGAACACTGAGGAAATTTTACCCTGCCAAGGAAGCAAATGCTACCTGCACAATCTGAACTACCTCTGCATGGTTGTTTGAACACTGATACTGAAACAAGGCATGGAAATGTGTAGCTGGGCAAGGACAGAGTTATAGCCATCTTGATGTAGGTGTCTTATCTTACAGCACGGTGCAGCTTGAAGGGCTGATCCCACCATTCCTTCCTGCTGGCAGTGGGTTGCTTCTTTACTAAGTAGGTTCAGAAACTAAATCAGCAGAACAATAGTCGCTATTTTATAATGAAGTTTTCTGCTGATTTAACTTGCCTTTCCAGTTCTACTGCACAGTCGGGCATATGTCAATGCAAGAGGAAAGCAGAGGTTCATGTTGTTATCCTATTATTTATATAACTTCCTGCTGTATCAGTATGCAGACATGATCTTAGCTGAGAACAGAAATGCAACTCTAATCGTATGGCACCCTCTAGTGATGGTACAGTTGAGTGTTAATCACTGTCCATTAAACCAATCTCTGCAGTCTCTGTTAATGGGTTTTGTACTGACCATTTTTCTGTATTTCCATTTGCAGTGTTCAGTGGCAGCCACTGTGCCTTAAAGACCTTTTTCCTACTCTTGCCTCTTTCTTAAATACTTCCTAAAATGAGCAGGTACTTGTCCTTGATAACAACACAGTCAGCTGTTCCTAGGAGGCTACAAAGACAGTTGGTTTAGTCCTGGGAATTCCTGCGACCTGTGCCATCTGTAGTGAGGTGGGCGTAGCTAATAAGTGTTCCAGCTTAGCTAAAAAAAATTGACACAAACAGAATGGGGATCTGAGCAGTAGCAAAGGAAACCTGCTGTCACCCCCACTGCCCCCAGCGAGGCGAACTGGACAGACTGGGCAGCGGTACCCAGCATCAGTCAAGAGCTCAGATCGCCGAGCTAGTCTGGTGATGAGGAAGGCCAAGGTTAAGTGGGGAAGTCGCTGGGCAGGTCGGGATCTGGTGTAGTGGTGGTAATGGGTCAGACACCCTGTGAGGCTGATGGGTGTCAGGAAGGTGTGTTAGTGGTGCTCGGGGCCCTGATGCTGAATTTAGGCTTCTGCAAGGCTGCCAGCATGCCTCAGCAAGGAGAAAGGGAGAGGTTGTCTTCTAAAGAGAGTAGCTAAACACAAAACCAGAACCTTTATTGCCTGCCCAGAAACCCCAGCCTAAACCAGCTTATCTTCCTAGCACAAATAGGTGGCCCTGTTAATGCAGACCTGCTCTTGATAGGGTAGAGAGGCCTTTTTTAATTCATTACGTGCTTTTTTTTTTTGCATGGTAGTTATGTTTATAAAATGGCACTTATTGTTTATACTTGTTTATATTAGTATGTTCCCTTTTTTTATTAATAATTATACTTTATCTGGATATCTCAGCCTTTCCCTCTGAAGTCCCTAAAATATTGATGGCCTTTGTTCAGCTTACTGACTTGTCCTAACAGCTTTTTACATGCCTCTAACAGTACTTGATTGCTGGGTTGGGAAGGAAAGCAGAGTAGGTGCTTTCCCCAGCATTCTTTGTGACTAGGTCTAAGATGGGTGTGTCTGCAGTGCCTGAAGAAATTCACCTTACATTTTATGTTTTTAGATAATTGCTTTCTGCATTTCCTTTCCACACTGGTTTCCTCCTTGCAGTTTATTTGCCATAATTTACTTTTCCACTGGCTTCCTTTACACTGAATCTGTAGCCATTAAAGGATGAGCATTGGGCTTGAATTAAGTCACCTTTCTATTGAATGTTTTTCTTTTCTTCTCTACCTTTGGTTTAAGGATTTGCTTGCCTCATGGAAATGGAGGTTGACACTTTGCCTTTTCAAAATACCTTTCTGTTTCCTCTTGATAAGAACTTACTTTCCAGGTCTTGTAAGTAGTTACTTTATAGCCTTTCTTTGAAAGTCTTGGTGATTCAGTGCAGCACAACATGGAAGGGTAGAAGATGTGAGTACAGGGTGGGTTTGTTTGTTTTTTTGTTGAGGGTTTTTTAATTCTGTCTAAAACTTTTTTGCCTGCTGGGCAAGTGAGCTGTCTGTTTGCCAAAGCAAATTAAATTAATTCCTGCCATCAATAAACAGAGGGTCATAAAATTTAAAAAACATAATCCTTATTGTTTGAGAGAATGTTGCTGCTTTTTGGTTAGGATAGCTGTGTCCACCTCCGTATGTTAAGTTAAATGCAAGTGTATTGTGGTAACTAGAGCCTTGCCATAGAACTCTATGAAAAGGAGAGCAGTTTAAAGAAGCGTGTGTACAGCATCTAGCATAAGAGAGCCTTTATTTCAGCAGCATGCCTGAGCTTTTATTTCCCTATCTATACTTTAGTAACTTGTTATACTTGCAGAATAAGTGCTGGAAACCCAGAAAGGTTTAGAAGAGTATATGAACCACAAGTTATTGCCACCCCTCAGTTCTGTTTCTGACCTCCAGTAATTATTTTCAGTTGGTGGTTATCTGCGTCTCAAAATTTATTTTGAACTTGCACTTTCCATGCACTAGTTTAAACAATACTTCCAAAGTTTTTATTGAGTAAGGTCTAGTTATTAAAATAAATCCCTTTAAAAACTTCAGTAAACTTTAATAGGCTTCAACACAATTTTAATCTAATCTTGATCTTTGGTATATTTAACATTTCGAAGTCTCTTCTGAATGTTGCATGGCTGCAGTAGTAAATATTGGGGTTTTTTTCTTTCTGTAAAAAAAAAAAAAAAAAAAAAAGTGGCCAAAAGGAGATGTTTATAAAAGACAACTTGCTGATCTTAGGTGGTTATAGGTGGTCTGACCTATACAACCATTCTTATTTCATATTTCTGTTTTTTCCTTCTGTAAAGGGGGTACCTCATTGCCTTTTTAACTCATGATTTCTGTTCTTTTCTTCTTTTTCTTGATCAAGAGCCTTCTAAAGGAGTAGCACATCAACAATTGCTCTTTGCACATTAGGAAAGCAGGCACTATACACGTGTAATGTTTCAAATATCTAAGCAAGCAACATCAGATATGATTTGCTGATCTATTTTTGCAGATTTAGTTATTACTTACATAGCACATACTAGGCATTTAAAGTTGGTAGTGCCTCATTAGGTGTTGCCTGGATAGTAGATATAGCGAAAAATCAAATCATGGCTTTTGAAATGGACATGATAAGTGTATTTGGCCAGCAACCTGGAAATCAATAGTTTTTGGCCATTTCTATCATTATTCTCTAGTTTGATGTTCTGGACACTAGTGTCTTAATTTAAACAGAAAATGTGCTTTTTCCAAATGACAGATGTTTCTCATTCTGATGTTTTTTTTTTTTTGTCACTGTCATCCACAGTCCAAAGAGCCGCCTCATACAATTAAAGAAAGAAAAGCTGGAGTACACTCCTGGAGAGCATGAGCATGGATTGTTTCCAGCCCCTATTCATGTTGGTGGGTACTTGATGTGTGTTTTAGTTGTTGGGAAACAAGTATTGCACTTAGGTGACTGACACAGAAGTACTCTGGACTCTACAAACTTTCTGCCTCTCTTCCTTCTTTCTTTTTTTATTTTATCACCTTGCCAGGTTACTTAAGTCTTTCAGCATATGAAGGTTGCCAAAGGTTGTACTCGTCTATGTGTGTTCTTCAGTGCAGAAGTTTTTCTCAAGAGGGTTTGGCTTTTTTTTTTTTTTTTTTGCTACATGAACTTCATTCTCATTTTTTGTTTATTGTAAGAAAATACCAGTCTAGTTTAAAACCTGCTTTAACTGCCATAATACTTTTGTTTAAATGCAGTACAACAGTTTCCTTTTCAAACTAATATTACGCTAGAATAACCAGAGACTATTATGACCATTTGTTAAATTTCAAATAGTAAGCATGCAGTAATAAATCCCCCCATGTCCCCATGTGCTTAATAGTGTCTGTCTTTGAGCATGGATAAAAGTGAGGAAGAATGAAAAACATAGCGATCATAGAAGTGTTTATTTCATTCCCGTTTTGAGGTCTCAGGTAGAACAGAAACGAGGTTTGGGACTTCTCTTTGCCTTTTGCAGAAAGAAACCATAACCTAAGGCTAGCATGGGCATTTACAGCAACATCTTGGGAGTTCCAGGGTGCTGTTCACCAAGTCCAGTCCACTGGACTGGACTGCCTGGAGGGGATGGTCATGAACTCCCAGACTAACATTTCTGCAGCTCACGTCAATTCCCAGGATAAACCAAGATTAATTTATTTTTTAGCTAGTTGTTTCAGCTTTTAAAATGCTATGATTTCTTACTTTATGTATTGTCATGCAAAGAGAGTTTGGGAAGATCCACATTGTTTAGCAGGATGATTTGTCCCGTCAAATACAAACATTTAATTTGTTTGTGTTCTTTAACTGGATTTTTTTGCTCCATATACAACTTTGGCTTTCACAGGTAGATAGTAGCAGGCAGACAGCTGTGTGAGTTGGTAACTGCAGAAGAGGTTTCAGAACTTAAGGTGTTAATTTAAATTCTCAAAAATGTGACCTTTCTCAATTCCTTTTTGAATTGGGTCATATAGCTGTTGCATGACCAAACCATCTGTCGGGATACTTGGGTTCAGCTTGTAGTGCCACAATCCTGTTCTCTTTTCATGAAGCCCCAACCCCACATTTGTTTGTGCTAGCAGATGAAATCTGCTTCCATGACTCTGTATCGGGTGCCTGGAGAGTGGTTCAACTGCGGAGCACAGTTCCAAGTTTTAGAACTCTGCAAGATGACTGCACGAGTGCCCCCTTGACAAGGGCTGGAGAGACCTTCCATGCACTCCAGGCATGGTGCCAGGGCACCTGAAAGAGCCTTTTGTTTTGGCTGCTGAGGTCATAGAAGTGAAAGCAAATTCCCAGCAGATTTAGCTCTTTCCTGGAACCTGCTGTGGTTGAATAAAGCATTGAAATTGAAAAGTAATTTGAGAGTAAATTGTAAGGAAAACATGACAATTTTTTTTTTCCAGTGGTGAGGGTATGCATCTGAATTTACATGAAACCACCAACTAGTGCTGGAGGAGCATAAAGGCACTTCTTGACATTTAGAAAAGCTGAGAAAATCAGACTTGGAACTGACACCTCATCCTTAGTCAGTCTTGTAACTGCAAATTTGTGACACATTATCCCAACAAAATGATAAGAGAACATTAAATCTTGATTAGAACTACCTGAGTGCTTGTGTCAGACCTCAGGTCTTGTATTAACAAAGTATGTAATGGATTTCATTCTCTTAGGAAGAGGTTAGGGATGACAGTAAATTTTAGAGTAGAGATGAAGTCTGCAATGAAAGTAGTAACTCCTGTCTAAAGTGATTTTCAGGTATTGCTGAAAATATAGATCTTCTCAAAATCTTTCCAAACATTTCAGAATGTGCTTGCCAAGTCTGAACTCATTCTTAAGGCTCTTTTGGTAAAGGTCATAGGAGCAGGCTTGGATGCTGTTTTCAAAACTAATTCATTTTCTTTGAGTACAATATTGTGATTTACCATCTTGCATGAATGAGTCTGTCCATGCAGACTTTGTTCTCTTTGCTAAATCTTTGTGTTCATGTGTACGCAGAAAAGCTCAGGAGAAGATGTCAGCTCTGAGATGTCTGCACAGAAGTCACTAAGTGTTGGCTGTGAGGCACAGAGCTGTGTTCAGTTTTGTCAGTGATTTGCTGTTGTCCCTTCGGTAGCTCAGGTTCAGTGACTCCTCCTGGGCTAACACCTGCAGGTTTCTGGCACTTCTCTGAAGAGTTTACCTGTGATTGTTGGAGTTCACTGGCATCCCTAACATGTAGTCATCAGCACAGAAGGCAGCTCCCTTCTGCCACCTGCCTCACCAGGCATCTCGTGCCTCAGACAGCAGCTTTCATTGCTGTAGATAGAGGTTTAAATCTGGCGTCGAAAACAGCAGAATGCAGACGAAAGCGGCATGAGGGCTCCTCCCTGTGCTTGGCACTAACACAGTGCTCTGGGAGGATTCTGCTCTTCTGCCTTTTTGACTTTCAGTCATCAAGAGGCCCTGTCAGAATTCACCAGCGTGTCTGGGAGCAGCTCTTTTTTTCTCTTCGGGATATGTGAATACGAGCGTGTGTGACTTACAAACCTTTTTGTTTCAGGAAAGTATCTCAGACAAAAGAGAATTGACTTCCAGCTGCCTTACGACATCCTCTGGCAGTGGAAACACAATCAGGTACAAGATAAAAAGTTACTCGGTTGCCAAGATTATGATCAGAAGTCTTAGAAAGAAAGTAGCAGGATTCTTACATGAAAGTTATGTTTATATATCCTGCATATTGATGAATATTCTCATTGCTGCCACTGTATGAGGAAAAAAGGGATTTACATATGTATTTAATGTGAATAATTTCCATTATTCCATCTCTTGCAAAATAGCAATCCTGTGAGTTCGTGCTGAAAGAAATGATTAATTTTGCTGCAGACTTTTATTTTGGTGATGTGCCTGCTTTCTGCAATGAGCTTGTTTTAGACACGCCTCGGGAGAATTCAGATGTACTGCCAACAGCACTGAGAAATTTCAGGCCTTGTTTTTCTTGGATCAATCCCAGAAGGGTGGAATTTATTTTTCTCTTGCAAGCTGAAATTTTCATACTGAAGAAAGAAGAGAAACCCTTTAAAAGTCTCATTCTTTTTAAAGAGCTTTAAATATATGCAAACCTAAAAATAGAAATATTTATTTTTCTTGAGAATTTTCCACCAAGTGATTTAACACAGGATTTAAGGCTGGAGGATAAATCTGTCCCCAGCTCTACAGCAAGAAAGTGCTCTCAGACTTGTAACCTAAGCATGTAAATGAACAAGACAGATTCCCAGGTGATGGTGGCTCCAGCCACTCTTTGTAATACCACCAAAATTGAATCTTAAAGTAGTGATCACTGTTGACATTTCAGCTGGGGACAGTTTCTGGCCATATATTGAAGATTACTTGTCTGACTATCTCATCCATTCAATATGACATAAATAATAAATAAAGGTGATTGATTTCCTTGACATATTCCATACTACCTAGAATATAGAAATCCCTTACAGAGTAGTTTGCAGAGTGGAACACAGAATCGTTTAGGTTGGAAAAGATCCTTAAGGTCATTGAGTCCAACCATTTTGATAAGTGCCTTAATTTTTCTTTAACCACTTTTTCGAGTGTCTCACATGGTAATTCCACTAAAGGTGCTTTCTCCAGAGTAGATTTAAAAAATTACTCTTTACTATTGAAAAGAACAGCATTGTTCAGAATAATCTGTCCTCTCATCTGTTATCCATGTTCAGATAGGGAAGAGTAAACAGGATGTCAGAAAAACTGCTCCCCTGACTCATAAAGCATAAGTTCTCCTTATTCAGGTACTTTTTTCTACCTATTTGTTAATACACTCTGAGCCTAAGGAAGAGAATACAGACATACTTTCTAACAATGATTACAAAGCTGTTACGTTTGTACAGAACATAATTTCCCTAGTTCTTTGTAGAACAGATACATTTATGCCATGTATTAAAATTTTCTTTCTCTTCCTTTTAGTTGTATAAAAAGCCAGATGTCCCACTTTATAAAAAAATCCGTTCTAGTAAGTAAAATCTTATTACTAAAATGTGTTAACTGTGGAATTTTCACACAATACCCCTCTGTTCTGTCATGGTCTTCATCCTACCAAAGACACTTCCACTTTCTTTTTTTGCTTTATGTAATTGGGATGAAAATACTGTAGATAAATACTTCTATTTTTTCATCTGTAAAGAATTCTTTTTTCCTGTTTGGGTTTGGTTTTTTGTTGTGTTTGTTTGTTTGTTTTTTTCTCCAGACGTCTATGTGGATGTCAAGCCTCTTTCTGGTTATGAAGCCACTACCTGCAACTGTAAGAAACCAGATGATGACAATGGGAAGGGCTGTATGGAGGACTGTCTTAACAGGTTAGAAAAAAGTTGACTGACTGTCATAAGACAATTTCAATAAATGTATTATTTCACATCAACTAATAGTATCTTAAGAAAAGAGTTGTGCTGGATGCAATCCTAGCAATACAAGTATTGTTATACAGAGTACAGGGTAGCTTTCTGTTACATCTGTGCTCCTCCATCTCTTTCTTCAGAGGAAGATCTCTCTAAAAAGCTCCATTTTGCAATTTGAGTAGCAGTGAGAGCCAGGCTGTGAATCTTTGTGTGAATTAAACCTTTGAAAACAAGAAGCATTTTAGTTTTTTAAGAACTTCTGTTTAACAGAGGAATTTTTTTTTCTTTCTCCTTGTATGATAGATGCAAAAGTATGCTATTCACATTCCTTTACCTTCTTTGCTTTTTTTATTTCAGGATGATCTTTGCGGAGTGTTCACCAAACACTTGCCCTTGTGGGGAACAATGTTGTAATCAGCGGATACAGAGGCATGAATGGGTGCAGTGCCTGGAAAGGTTCCGGGCTGAGGAGAAAGGATGGGGTATTCGTACCAAAGAACCCCTGAAAGCAGGACAGTTTATCATTGAATATCTGGGAGAAGTTGTTAGTGAGCAAGAATTCAGGTAGAAATATTTTTTTGCTGCTTTAGCACAGAAGGCTCAATAAATGACTTTAGCATCTCTTGTCATTGCTGGAAAATCCTTAGACAGAAACAAAGGGGAGAGTATTGGGGGGAAAAGGAATGCTTTTCTGGTCACAGCCACCAGAAGGAAGGCTTAGGAAGCAGCTTTTTTGATCAAACAAGTTTTTCTCAGTCAAATAGAGAGGAATGATTAGTGTTCGGAATGCATCATCTGCCACATCTGCTCTGTAAATACCAAATGCCACAAGTGAATTTGATATGAGTACTGTGCAGGATTTGAAATGTGCAAGATAGAACTGAGGGGCAGAATGGGGCAAGAAGGGAAATGAGCTTTTTTAGGTAGGTATGAAGAAAAAAGAAAAGTGGGAGCATTAATAAATGGTGAATGAAAGAAACTGTAGTCTTGTTAACTACATAGCATCATAGGATAATTGAGGTTGGAGGGTCATACTTGCTACTCTTAGAGCTCCATCAGAAGACAAATGCAATTTTCTCATGCAGAGATAACTGTTGATACCACTGGCTCTGGTTACTGTTGCTCTCTTTCTAAAAAGAGGTAGCTGTAATCCATGGATGTAATTCCAGAAATTGTGCCCAGCCCCAGATAATGAAAGAAGGAAGCTAATCATTGTACACATGCATACATATACACACCAAAGAATGTATACTTGCATTTTCTCTTCCATACACAGGTTATCAACATGAAATCTATACAAATAATCTGCAGAGCCCAAAAGGGAGCATTCCAGAAGAGCAAATTTCTAAATTCTAATCCAAGCTCTGTCAATGGCCTTGACTTATAAAAATAGGTATAATAATGGTTTTCCTCCATCTCTAGGTGTATGGTTCTATAAAGTATAAAAGATTATAATTGCTTTTACTTCAAAACCCTCTCTCAGAATTCTTGAATGCGCTATTACTATGTTGCTCCCTGTTTGCTTTGCAGCAACATCGAGAATCACAAATAACTTTCCTGTGTTGCTTCCTAGGAACCGGATGATTGAACAGTACCATAACCACAGTGATCATTACTGCCTGAATTTAGACAGTGGAATGGTGATAGATAGTTATCGTATGGGCAATGAGGCTCGTTTTATCAACCACAGCTGTAATCCTAACTGTGAGATGCAGAAATGGTAAGAAAAATATATTCTGTTTTCTGGAAGACTGGTATACCAGTGACTAAGATACAGATAACCAGATGACCTAAGAGAGTCTGACCTAAAAACAGGGAGGGGAATCAAGCTGAACAGTGTAAATAATATTTGGTATCATGCTTGCATTGCATAAGAGAGTAATTTAATGTTTTCAAGTGTTGGACACAAGTTCTAAGTTTTCTGACAAGGCAAATCCAACATTGTTGTTTGTCATACTGTTAACTTGCTACAAATTTTGAACCTAGGTAATGCTGTAAAATAATCTATGTGTATATGTTGTTTCCTTCTGGCAATTCAAATTTATTTTTTTTTTTAAATAAAACAATTTTATGAAAGCAGGCAAACAGGGAAGTAGTCTGATTTCAGCACACCCTGTTTCATGTCAGTACTCTGTTATCAGAAGAAATCAAGTGCCAGACTAGTAGGATGTACTTCTGAGAAGTCTGTAGTGAACAACTTACAGTGACGTAGCAGAGGGTCATAATATGAGTGTTGGCAGTACAGTGGAGTAGCTTATGATTTGAGACAACTCCAGTGGATTTAAGTAGTAGTAATCAAGTTTAAAATTCAACACAGAAAAAAAGCAGAATTGGAGAAGCAGTTACTTTTAGTGTATTTAGTGAAATGAAGTATGATGTTCAGTGTAAGCTTTTGATTTAGAGTGAGGGCCTGAATCTTGGCAGATAAGTAGATATGCTGTGATAGCCAATGTAGTTTGTAGCTTCTCTGTTTGAAGCACAGCCTCCTACTCTTTGTAAATGTGATAGTCACTTTTTTGGCGTTCAAAGTTTATTGTAAGAGATGAACAGGAGAACAGTACAAGTGAAGAACAGGTGTAATCCAGGGCACAGCAGAAGTGTTGCTTCCGTCTCTAATGCTTCCACTACGTGGACAAAGACAATTTTCATTTTAATTATTTGCAATATTTAATTTAATTTTCCCCACAGGTCTGTTAATGGTGTTTACCGGATTGGATTGTATGCACTTAAAGACATGCCTGCTGGTACTGAATTGACTTATGACTACAATTTTCATTCATTTAATGTTGAGAAACAGGTAAGGATCCCAGTGCATAACCTTGAAAAAACTCACCAAGGGCAAGCACTTCTGTTAAGTTGAAGATTGATTAACAAGACCTTTTTGTATTGTATTTGACAGAACAGGTTTAAAATCATTTCTCTCTGTTTCTTTTTTCCTAAAGCAACTCTGTAAATGTGGGTTTGACAAATGCAGAGGAATAATTGGGGGTAAAAGTCAGCGAATGAATGGACTTCCAAGCAAAAGCAATCAGCCTGTGAGCACCCACAGAAGGCCTGGACGGTCAAAAGAGAAAAGGAAGTCAAAGCACAAACTAAAGAAGAGAGTGAGTAGCAAAGACAGCTTTTCTTTTTTGTGTGTGTATAAAGGTTAATGGGAAATCAGTTTGTGCCATCAGATTGAAGCACTGTGTATTTGTATGTTTTAAACTTCAGACAAGTACTGCAGGTTCTGTCTCAGGATCTACTTTTATTATTTTGCTAAGTTCTTGGCACAGTTTTTCCTGTCTATCAGCATGACTTGTTTTCCAGAGGGGTCACATCCCAGAGGAACCCAGTGAAAGTGTGAACGCACCAACAAGGCTGACACCACAGCTTCAGATGAAGCCCATGTCTAACAGAGAAAGGTAAGGAATTATTTCAGTGGGATTTTCCTCAGAAATGGAGCGTTGTACAAGTGTTGAGTTTGGTTTTATTTTCTGCAAGGGTGTCATGAAGTGTCCAAGGTAAGCAATTCTTAGTTCTTTAACCTAATTCTAATTAAGGTGGAATTCCTCTCCTCTACCGAGGAGAGAGAGATGAGAGAGAGGGTACAGTTGTGTACCTCTGACCATCTGACACATTAAGGAACTAATTTTACAGTAGGAAAGTGGGTCTTCAATGCTTTTCTAATTCCTGTAGGAATTTTGTGCTAAAACACCATGTATTTTTGGTACGAAACTGGGAAAAGATTCGACAAAAACAAGAGGAAGTGAAGCATGTCAGTGACAACATCCATACGACATCGCTCTACAACCGCTGGAATGGAATCTGTCGGGATGATGGCAACATTAAATCTGGTGAGGCCAACACAGGTTCCTCAGGTTGCTACTTTGAGAACCTATATGACATGCCTGTGAAGAGTTTAAATAAACTCTGTGTGTAAATCGAATGTAGACTTCCTACAAGATCCATATACCTTTTGTAATGCATACAGGGAATGCTATACAGATAAAAATACTGATCTGTGTGTTTGTGTTTAATATGCCCTTATCTTTACATAGCAGGATAAGACAGGAGCTCTTTCACTGTTTCAGTGTGTTTTTTGCATTATGAAATTCTACAATTTCCTCTGAAATACTTAATGTTATTTTCTTAAGAATAAGAAATTTTGTATTATATAAACAATTTGTCTGGTTGCTGGATTCTTTTATGTTCCTCCAGCAGCCCTGATGTCTCTCAAGACCTCGAAGAAGTTGTCATGTCTTGCATTTCATCATTAGAGGAGGATATTTAATATTTTCCATTATTTGACCCTTGAAAAGAAGGGCTTTTTTCTGCTTTCTGCATCCCTATATCAGAAACAGTTGTGCTGACTTTGAAAATTATAATTTATCCTCATAATTCAATGGATTTCAGGCCTTTAGAGAACAAAGTTTTTTGGTATGTGGTCAGTTATGAGAAAAGGACAAAACCCGACTACCAGAAAAAATTCTGCTGAAAAAATAGCGGTCTGTTCATAGGACCACAGCCCTCACAGCCATACAGGGTTTGTCCTCACTATCAGTTACATGAGAAGCTGGGAAGTGAGTGTTTTGGGTGAATTCAGTGACATGCTGTATTTGCTTCAGCAACAAAAAATACTTTGAATAACCAGCTTAACCATTTAGGTTAGCTATAAGCAGTGAGAGCCAACTTGGAAAAACAAAACTGAAGCCTTTTACTGTTACAGTAGCTTAGCTGCTGGATCAGAAAAGATGCTGTAATTTGCTCTTTAATTTCTTGTTTAGAGGTAATTCTGGTTTGCCATCTTTCAGATGTCTTCATGACCCAGTTTTCAGCCCTTCAGACCTCCCGCTCTGTGCGCACACGACGCTTTTTGGCTGCAGCTGAAGAGAATATTGAAGTTGCTCGTGCTGCCCGCCTAGCACAGATCTTCAAGGAAATATGTGACAGCATCATATCCTATAAAGGTGAAAGTGACACTTCTAAAAAAAAAAAAAAAAAAAAAAACTCCATTGAGACTTTTTCAGCCTTTAGAACAATGAATTTTCTGAATAACAAATACTAGGAAAAAAAGACAGATTTATTTCAGGATGTTAAATAGCATTCTTTTTTTTTTTTCTCCTGCTACCAGTAATCACTTTGCGTTATCCTCAGCCCCTTCCTCTGCCACAGGAATCTGCAGGTGTTGCTATCCTTTCAAATGAATTTTTCAACCGTTCAGCAAAATGGCACAATTGGCAGAATTGCAAGGAAACTCTCCTCCATTTTGGTCCATGTAGACCAATTACAGCAACCAACTTCTGGAACTGTAAAAGGATTTCGATTCGCTATACCTCAGATAGTAGAAGAGCCTTTTTTTAATCTCAATTCAATATTGTTGATTACTTGTCTTTTTAAGTTTTATTCAGGTAAATGTTGCTAAACTGTGTGTTCCTATTACAGATTCCTCCAGGCAGGCTCTTGCAGCTCCCCTTCTGAACTTACCTCCAAAGAAAAAGTAAGTACTTGCTTCTCATAGCAAACGGTAGTTTTCTTCAATGGATTTGTACAGCTTTGAATTGCTAGTGAAAATGACGTTGTATGTACATTCCCATTTCAGAAACGCAGACTACTATGAAAAGATCTCTGATCCGTTGGACCTTGCCACAATTGAGAAACAGATCTTGACTGGCTATTATAAAACTGTGGAAGCTTTTGATGGGGACATGCTGAAGGTCTTCCGGAATGCAGAGGTGAGGGTCTCTCTGGAGTTCTAGCTACTGCATAGGCAGTGGGGAGATGCCCCCCTTTAATGCTCTTACTGACTTAGAGTAATAAAAGAAGAAAAACATACTAGAGAAAGAGAACTTGTGATGAATGTTTCTGATAAACAGACATTTCTAGCAGATAATGTGCTTCAGCATACTATTAGTGCTTTTTAGTTGCCTTAGGTCTGACAAATAGAAGGTCAAGAACGTGCCTGAGTAGCTAACCTAAAGAAATGCTGGTGCGTTTTGGAAGAGGGACCTCATTCTTCTGTGTCATAATGTGAGATATGTAGACCTGTTCAAAATAAGGAAGTAGATGGACAGGCGTATAACATATTTGTGGATGCAGCTTTAGTGGAGGAATGCACCAAAAGTGTGGAAGCTGAGGGAAAAAAAGGGGGTTTGTTTTGTTTTTATTCAGAAATATTATGGCAGAAAATCTCCAACTGGACGTGATGTGTGCCGGCTACGGAAAGCATATTACAATGCTCGCCATGAGGCATCTGCCCAAATTGATGAGATTGTGGGAGAAACAGCAAGTGAAGCTGACAGCAGTGAGACATCAGTCTGTGAAAAAGAAAATGGTCATGAGAAGGATGAGGATGTGATCCGTTGCATCTGTGGCCTTTACAAAGATGAAGGACTCATGATCCAGTGTGAAAAGTGCATGGTGAGGCCCGGGGAACACGAAATGGAGCCTGGTGCTCTTTTGCACCTGGTTATTCTCCATAACCAGGGGCACTTTTACCAGCAGTTTGTGTAGCTAGTGGCATGAATTACTTCTTCAGACCTTCATTTCCTCTCCAAAAGAATTGAGAGATTCTGTTTTCACAGAGAAAATGCAACTTGCCTTTCTGTGTAGAGGGGCTAGCACTTTCCTGCAAACTGCCAGCAACTCCTGTCTCTAGGCGAGCAGAATTTCAACAGTTCTGGGCTTTTACACAAGCACTTGCACGGGGGTCTTGTTTCTCTTCTGACATAGTGTGAAATAGTTGAAAGAAAATCTTGAATTTCCTTTGGGAAGTTTGTTTTCTTCATTCCCTTAATATTTTTTGTGAAAATGCTGTTTTATGTACATAACATCTATCACAAGAATGTCTAACTGGGATATATCTGTTTTTCTAGGTCTGGCAGCACTGTGACTGTATGGGTGTGAATTCTGATGTTGAACACTACTTGTGTGAGCAGTGTGAACCTCGATCTGTGAATAGGGTAAAAAAAAAAAGTCTCAGTTACTACAGTTTTAAACTAAAGCAGCTCTTGCTTTTCTGTTGATTTGGATTGGCAAGACCAGTGTTCTCACTCGGTTGTGTAGCTTCCTTGGTTTAGGTTTGATCACATTAAGTGTCAGTTATTCTCCTCTATCTACTTCTGCATATTTCCAAAAGGAGATCAGCCCTATTCTTGCACTGATGATGATGGGCATCTCAGAATTTCCTTCCTTTTTTCTTCTTTCATCCAGGAGGTTCCTATGATTCCTCGTCCCCATTACGCCCAGCCTGGATGTGTTTATTATATCTGCTTATTACGGGATGATCTGCTGCTACGCCAAGGTATGTGCTAACTGCTGGCTACTGTGATTTCCATAGGATAAGAGTGTACAGGTATTTCTGGCATCACCCTGTTTGAAACACTTCTGTCTTTGTACAAGTAGAAGGCTGCACTCTTTGATGTTATGGCAGTGACACACAGTCAGATATCTCACAGGCGGGTTGATGAAGAAACATTAATTACCTTTACCACGGCTAGGACTCTCCTCCTGGACAGAGGAGGAAGATGCTGAGCCAGCTTCTGGTAGTTAACATGTAGAAGCTAAGGCAAAGAAGGTTCTGTCTCTGAGACTCTTCAGGTTCTTTGTGAATTTTACTGATTAAACCTTTTCCCTGAAGGACAAGGCGTTTTGGAAGGTGCAGTGTATTTTCACCCTATCAAATGATGATCTCTGTCACAAAGGAAAGGGCGTTTACAAGTAAGAATGGCAGTCGGGTCTGGGAGGTGAAGAGAAAGTACTTTTAATACCATTTCATGGATCAGAGAAGAGAAATTAAAGAGTTAACTTGCTTTTGGGGCAAAATTAATCATTAGAAGTTTACAGACCTGTTTAGGGGTTGCACTTGGGAAAGACTTCTTTAGTTGGCAGGAGTGTCATTTTGTTGAGCCCTTTTTGAGTTCTGTTTAACTTTCCTGAGCTATGCTTTGAGTTCTGCTGGAATAATCAAAGGCGTGGGGCTTCTCAGTCAATAATTCATTTTCTTAATGAGAAACTTGTATCTTCTTATAAATCTTAAAGATGCAACCTTTAAACATTGCAGCTGTCACTGACTTCTACACATTTTCATAATCAAAACTCATTTTGTTACATATCATATGGTCTTTCATAATTTATCTTGATTCACTACATGTTAGTATTTTCAGTCTGGGCTTACAACTGAAGTTATGTTAAGTTCTTGCTATAAAGCTTTTGTGACAGTGATCAAGGTGACCTTTCCTCCTTTTTCGGGTTCTGCATTGAGTGCATTGCTCTTTATAATTCAACATTGAGTAGTTCTGTCATGTTAGTGTTAATGAAAACATTTACTCCTCAATTTTTGGTGTGCTGGACTATAGGAAGAAGTTCTTTACAAGTGTGTATTTTGTGCCTATTGCCAGGTGATTGTGTTTACCTGATGAGAGACAGCCGTAGAACTCCAGATGGACACCCTGTCCGGCAGTCATATCGGCTGCTGTCCCACATCAACAGGGAGAAACTCGATATTTTCCGCATAGAAAAACTCTGGAAAAATGAGAAGTATGTTTAAGGCACCTTTTGAATTTGAAACATTCCGTATATCTACCTGTCAAAACACAGTAATCTTGTGGAAGTCTTCGCCTAGCTTAAAAATGCAGGACAGAACACAGTTCAGTTATAAAGGCTTGATGATTTCCCACTTATCTCTGCTTGTTTTTCACAACAGCAAAGTGAAAACATGTAAGGTTGGACGTTTGAGCAAGGGATAAGACATACGAGTGGATGCACTTTCCTCACTGTTGGAATAGGCTGGGAATACACAGCTCACAGCTACCAATCACCAACCTGCTTAGCCACCGTCATGTCGTGAAATGCGTATGCCCCATAGACAGCAGCACAGTGAGTCTGCTGTGTTCATAGAAACCACACTGGGAGTATTTCTACTTACTGAAGGGGATAAGGTTGAATGTGTAATATTCGTGTGACTTCACTTTACATCATTGCCAAAGTGCAAGGTAGCTAATTCAAAATTAAGCAGAGGGCACAAACTATAGTTATTTCATGGGCTCATAGAAATAGTCTCTTTTTTTTCCCCCTTTCCTTCTGTTTCTCTCTTTCTCTTACCTTTACACCTTCAAACAGAGAGGAGCGGTTTGCATTTGGTCATCATTATTTCCGTCCACATGAAACCCATCATTCCCCTTCTCGGAAGTTTTATCACAACGAGCTCTTCCGGGTGCCATTGTATGAAATTATCCCCTTAGAGGCTGTGGTGGGAACGTGCTGCGTTCTTGACCTGTACACCTACTGCAAAGGTAAGGAAGCTTAATGAGAAATTAAATACAGTTTTCTGATAATTTGGGAAGTATGATGAAATAGTTACTGCTGTGAAAAGGCTGCAGACAGTCTTTACAGGCTGTCAGAGCTGAGGAAGCCCTGTTGCTTTAGCTGGGATGGTTATTTCTGTTTTAAGAGGGCCAGTACTAAAGAGATAGCAGCAGGGTGGGATTGTGGTGAGCAAGGAAGAGAAAGCAATGGCAGTTGATAATAGTTTTTGGAGAAATTTGGGTACTGTTTGATTAGAGTATACAGGTTTTCCTCTTAAATTGAACTAGCAATGTGTCCACTATTGTGATTCTGGAT